CTCTCATTTCTGCATAAATACAGGGAGGCGTTACAGATGACACTGGTAGCTACTAACAGGGAAGGTCGAGCTCTTCAGAGAAGCCCCCAGCTACATCAGTTGTCCCAGTGGATCCTGCTGAAATTATGCTACCCTTGCTGAAACAGCAAGGTAAACAAGCTCTTTAATATGAAATAGTTAAACACATAAGGCATCAAACTGACACAGAAGAATCTTCTAATGTCAAAAGGTGGAAAACGATGTGTGTGTATGTTGTTTCTAATTTAGGGATTCCCAATATTTGGGGAAGTTTTGCAATATTCTATATATTTCCTCTTTCCTTTCATTGTCCTACCCCAAAAGTGTTTTGGGGCAGAAAAGTGAATTGGTTTTTTGAGTTTGTAACAAGATACTCTCAGGAAGACACAAAATCATAACAAGAATTACTGAACTAGTTAGTGTCATGTTTTAAAACATGTTTGAAAGTACTCATCATATGGAGTTGACATTAAAAAAAGAGTAGATTGAGTTGAGATTTCCAAGAAGGATCATCTCCTACACAGAAAGTCTTTTATTTTTACTTATTTAGCTTCATATCTAGATATTGGTATTTTATAATTATATTATGTAAGATTTGGGAAGTTTCCTCCCTCCTTTTATTTATTTTCCTGGTATGATACAAAGTGGTATATAGCAAATGGCTAAAAGAGAACCAGGGAAGGATTCTAGGGCATTTCCCTTCTCTTCCAAATTCTCTTCACCTTTATTCCACATATTTTTTTCCTTCCTTGAACTGATCTTCAAAGTTGGTAAAATGCTTTTAATTGTTGAAGAGTTGCCAAATGAATGCTAAAACAGGTTAAAATCTCTAATTTCAAGTCACCGGGTTTTGTGTTTTATTTATTCAATTTATGTGAACTGAGTGTCAATCGATCTTAGCAGCTTTCTGGTAGGCACTGTGGGACATGCTGAGAAGTGCCCTGCCCTCAAGGAATATACAGTTTAAATGGAGGGATATCAAGTAGTCCACAAATAAGTGCTAAGTAAATGGACATTAGTGCTCTAGGCTGTTCAAACAACAGATGAATGGATTTGGAGTAGCCATAGTGGATTTTAGTAGGCAGGTGGAGGGGTAAGGTTTTCTAGGTAAGACAAATGGTATCAGTTAGAGCACAGAGGCAAAAATTAATAAATGGGTGGGCTGATAAAAATAAATAGGTATGCTGATATTCACCAATAAAAAGGGGTCATGCTGGGCAGTAGCTGCAGTTAAGTTGGAGAAAATAGTGATTCGGGTTGCTGGGGACCTTGAATGCCCAGCTAAGTAGTATGCCTTTAGTCCTGGGAGCAACTGAAGGGAATTAAAGGCTTTTCAGAAAAGTGGATTAGGGAGATTAATTTGTTAGTGGAAGGTAGAACAGTTTAGAAGAGGAGGGGTTGGTGGCAATAGGAGGCTATGGATATGAGTTGATGAGGGCATCCATCAGGATCATTGATCTGGCAACATAAAAGGAAGGGTGAGCAGGAGAAAGACTATAGGAGACTAGATAATGGGGGAGGGTATATGAGGTTTCAAGTCTGAGCGAGTTGGAAAATGTTGGTTTCACTAAGAGAAAGAAGAGGGGCTGGTCTGAGAAGATATGGGTACTTGCTGCATTTGGGTTGTTGGCAGGACATGTGGGCCATACTGTCTAAAACAGATCATTGTCTCCACATAAACTGACCAGAGCTGTAGTTTGTATGACTCTTCGGTGGGCTTGGATGGGGTGATTAGAAGGTTTTGCACACTCAGCTTTGCCTTTTTAGGCAGGGAGAGAGCCTCTGCTGTAGACCATTCTTAGTCCTCAGGGGGCCTATGAGCTCGTCAGGAAATATCATTTTAATAGGATTAGCTGAAAGATGAGCAAATGTCAGGTGATGGTTTGGTAATACGTCATGGTTGCTAACTTTGACATGCTAAGTGTGACATTATTCATGGCTTCTATGCGTGGCTAAGAGGGTTAACATTTAGTAAATTAGATCCCTGAATTTTCCTCCTGTTCCTGTATTTTACCGGTATGATGAAGTGTTACCTTGGACAAACCATTTAACCTCTCTGTACCTTGGCTTCTTATTTATAAAGTAGGATGCTTGTGGCAGCATTCACATTTTGAAAGCTATAGATAAAAAGCACTGTAGGATTCTCTCTCCCTCCTACCCCAATGACTGAGTCAGTCATTTGGAAAGGTCAGCCTTTTCATTGGATTATTTCAATTTGCTACTCCCTAAATCAGTTAATTAGCATTTTTCTAAAATGCTTCTGCCAGTCCAGAGTTGAAGATGTAGTCTCTAACTGCCCTTCCTACCTTCTGAGCCTGCCGATCCTGCTGGCCCCTTTTCACCCAGTGGCTGTTGCCGTGTGACTACCACCATTAGGCTCTGGGATCAATCCCAGCCATTTTAGAGGGGAGTTAGAGTTCTATGTTAACAGTCTGCGACCTTGACATAATGCAACCATGCTCAGTGTGAAATTCGGTCCACTTCCAGGTATTAGCTCCTGCTTTGTTTGTAAGTCTCACTCTGTCCTCCAAGCCCAGATTTGGATACTTGTTTTATTCTCCTGAGCCCCTAAAACTTTCCCAGCCCATCAGCTCAAGGACCTGAATTCCGTTTGTTTTCATCAGTTATCCATAGGGATTAAAATCCAGACCTAGAAGACCTCAGCACTGGGGCTGGGAGCTTGATATAAACAATGTGTTTTCTCAGTACTTGCCATGACTTCCCAATTTTTGCCTGCTCCTGGATTTCCCAAGGCTGTGTTTCAGCTGTCCATTCATTGGCTTACAACATTTGCTTGCATTCTCGGTGTTGAAGAGGCCTGATGCCGGCTGCCTTCTTGGCCTGCTGCCGGTACCATATCCTCCAGATACCGTCTTCTGGCTGAATGTTCATCATGCCAGCTGGGTCTGCCTCCAATTCCATGGATGTATCTGGTTCTAGTATCCATTTCTCCCTGTCTACCTCACGCTCATTACAGTTAATCCTTGTATATTAAACCACAACGGATATTTGCTGGTGTGGAAACTGATGTGGCATTGGAATTTTATCCTTGTTTACGTCTTTCTTTGTGTTGGGAGGCTTGGGATAACTTCCAAAACGTCCTCAGAGAGCTTTCCTGTCTCCTTGAGGAGAAACAAATGAAAACTTGACAATACCTTGTGTCTATGACTGAGCTTCAAGGCCACTATTTTAATTATAAAATTACATTATTTAATTATAATGTTGTTTGGATATACAGATATATTTAAAAGTATATTATTGATCAGTTCAAAATGTTACCTGAATGGATAAGGTAGAGTGTACTGAGAAATAAACTTCTAAAGTTTAGTTCATGTAGTTAGGATGACTCCAGGTTTCAAAGTTCTTCTAAACCGATTATTACTTACAAGAACTTGGGCACTTAGTTCTTTAAGCAGAGGTTTCCTCATCCATTAAAATAAGGATAGCCACTATGCTGCCCTCACAGGAGTATCTGGAAAGTCAAATGAAATGGAGGTTGACATGTTTGAACAGCTATAAAGTTATATGGAAGTATTGCAATGGTTTTTCATTACTCTTGCTAAAATGTCACCAGTCTCTTTTGCCTCTCTTGCTTCCCTTATTAATTATAGCAACTTTAATCCGGGAATACGGAGTACTGTTATTACTGTAAAACTAAAACTTCTATAAACTCAAACTCTTTTTAAGAAAATTTCATTCAACGAGATCATTATAAACAATACACAGAGCCAAGAATGAGTCCCAGTTTTTACAGCTTATAAAAAGAAAAGTACAAAACTTTATTGTAGTTTGGGGTGGAGTCACACTTAATCTTTCAACTCCGTTTAGATGAGATGGGCCCAGTGATAAAAATGGCTTCTAGTTACAGCACATTAAAAAAATAAAATCACCACATACAAATGATCACCTGTCCATTCCATACTTTCATCTCTTGTAACTTCGATTACTTTTTTTATCTTTGGAAGTAGTAAATTCTCCAATCCTGAACGTGGGTGTCTATTTTTCTTACCCAAGGGCCAACACAGTTCTTGCTCAAATTGGGTGCGTTTGTGACTTTTCAGCAGTGCCATCCGCCGTACCTAATTCTTGCAGGCCTTCAGTCAGTATCTCAGATGTTAGCTTCAATTCTTCCCAGGTCTTTAATAAATATCATAAACATCAGCCAGGATGCTTTTCTGAAGACAAAGTCAGAAAGACCTCGTTCAGGGAGTGCTAAGCGAACCTGCCAGGTTCGCCTCCCCGGGGCGGAATGGGGTCCCCTAGAGCCGCTCCCCGCGTCACCTCAACCCTCCGCTCGCTGCCCCGGGCCCCGGCCGCGTCGACGCGCACTTCTCCCGGGCGTCGGCAGGGGGCGTCCGCGACGGCCGAGGCGCTGTGCACGCCAGCGGGGAGCCCGCACAGGGGGCGGGGAGAGAGGGAGGAGGAGCTGGAGGGGGCGCGGCTTCTTCCCCGTCGCGCCCGGGCGCCGGGCCTGCTTCTCTGCCCGGCGCAGGACTGGCGGCCGGCGGGGGTCGCGGCGGCGGCGGCGGCGGGGGCGCTGGCGGGCCGCGGGCGGCGGGGGCCTGGCCCCAGCTCCGGGTGTTAGGAGACAAGATGGCGGCGGCGCTCTGGAGGCCGGTCTCCTCCTCTTCGCTCTCCTCCGCCCCGCCGCTCGCCGCCTCCTCCTCCTCGGTCTCCTCCTCCTCGTCCGCTGCCTCCTCCTCCTGCAGCAACACTAGCGACCGCCGAAGCGCCGGCTCGCTCTCCCGGAGCTCCGGAGGGGGATAGACCGGGCAGCTGCAGGCTCCGGCGACCGAGGCCGAGCTGGGGCCGGGGCGGGGACGGCGACGGCGGCGGCGGCGGCGGCGCCGGGTGGGGATGGGGTCGCAGACGCTGCAAATCCTCCGACAGGGGGTGTGGGCCGCGCTCAGCGGGGGCTGGTACTACGACCCGCACCAGGCCACCTTCGTGAACGCGCTGCACCTCTACCTGTGGCTGTTTCTCCTGGGCCTGCCCTTCACCCTCTACATGGTGAGTGTTGGGGCGGGGAGCAGGGTGGCTCCTTCCCCCTCCTGGCTGGCGGGGCAGCGCCCGCTTCCCAGAGTCCGCCGGCGGTCGCGCCTTCCCGGCTGGGCGCTGGGGTTGCGCCTCCTTTCCCGGGGCGCGCAGCCCACCGTCCTGCGCCCTGGCGCGCTCGCAGACCGCAGCCCCACTCGGTGGAGGCTCCCCTCCCCCACCGCTACTGCCCACTTTCCCCTCTTCAGGGCTTCCCCTGTGTCGGCGACGACAGGAGAAACGAGTCAACAGCAGCCCGCGCCTCCGCCCCCGTGCCTCCCGCCCGTTCACTGGGAAATAGCAGCTTGCTAGGCCCCTTCTCAGGGGGTCCTTAACCTTTCCACCCGGATGGGCAAATCCCTGCTGGGCTCCTTGCCCTTGGTGTGTTGTGGAAGGCGCCGAGCGTTTTGCTCCTTTAGGGGACGCCGCATCCATCCTTGGCACGCTCGCTTATTTGCGCTCGGTTCCTCGGGCGCCTGGGCACCCCTGGGCACTCCCTTCACCCGCGGCGGTTCTCGCTCCCGTTCTTCGGAGAGAATCCTCCCTCCGCCTCGCCTCTGCTCCGCGTGCAGGGCCTTGGGAGCCGGCGGAGGACGTGTGCCTGTCTGCTCGGAATGTGTTTGTGCGTCGTCCGGGCGCTCGCCCTCGTCTAGGTGGTGGTTGAAAACCTGGCTCTTAACCGTCATGCCTCTAAAAACCATCGTTTTGCTTCCCACTGGCTCTCTTCTGTTCCGCTCCGTGGTCAGTGGCTGTGGTGTTTCCAGGCCAGCTTTGGGGGGAGGGAGCGGGGGAGATACGGGGAATCTGGCTGGCATTTCAGCGGATTTGTTTGGGTTGGTTCAAGGCCTGTGACTGATAGGAAAAAGGAAACTACCGCCTGTTGCTGAATTCGGTACGATCAGCTTCTCTGACTGATTTATGTTTTTAAGCGATATTTTCACTGAAAGTTCTTTAAGCGCACTTCTTTTTCTTTTCTTTTTTTTAAAGCACATTAGGTTAGGGTGGGACATTAGGGAAACTAATCTGGATAGAAGTAATGTTTAAAGCTTCAGTTAAATTTTTAAAGTAACCGTAAGGGAGGAAAGGATAGTAACTTTTTATTTTAGGAGAATTCCTTTGAGTATGTTTCTGCTAACTTTGTGGTTCTTCACCGAGCTAGAATAGGTGCTGAGTTAGAAAAACTGGGAATATGACTACCAGAAGTGCCAAAGGTGAGGACACCCAGTTCTTCCCGAAGTGAAGCTCAGTTTCAATAACTGGCAGGAAAGTGTCTGCTTGGGGGAAGATGTGCTAAATTCCACATTCTCGACCAGGTTCAGATTTTTCATTGAAATTGTTTTGAAGGGACTTACTGTTTAAGGTAAAACAGCCATTTAAAAAAATGCCAATGGCTTATGGCTTATTTTATTAGGGGACTTGTTCAGTCTTGTTGCATTCTGAAAATTTATCATCAAGTGTTATAATTTTAAATTAATTCTGGCCTAGGGAGTTCTATTTCCACTACTCCACCTTCCAGGAATATGACATCATTAATGAACAGGTTAATTACTTTGGGTGTAAGAATCCTCAGGCTGTGTCACAGAGCTTTCATAACAGATTTATATTCAGGAGAATTGTAAATTTAAAACTGAAAATGATTCTTGAGAGGTAAGGATTAGTCGCTGTGTCCCCGTGTAAGCAAGGTTTCTTTGTTAGCACCTTCAGTTAACTGTGTGTCATGGTTAAGTCTCTTTGTGTAATTTACAAACATGGCTAAAAGCATATTAGAGCAAGTGGAAACCAATACATTGAGTTTACTTGCTTCATTTTGGAAATTTATTCAGTTAAATTTAATTCTCAAATATGTGAGTGTCTCCTATGTACTAGACACTTTGCTGGGTTCTGGGAAAATAGCATTGCTTCTCTGACCAATTCATGGTAATTCCACTCTTCCCAAACATTTACAAAAAACTCCCCTTGATTCTTCTCTTTCTCTTTCTTCACATCCAGTCTGTCAGCAAATCTTGTGGGTTCTATCCTCAAAACCTAACTAGACTCACCATCACCAGCACCATCATCGCTCCCTTGGTTCAAGCCACCATTATCTCTCTCCTGGACTATTGCAGTGTTCTCATGAGGTGCACTGCTTCCATTCTTTAGTCTCTATTCTGCATACGGAAGTCTGTTGATTCTTTCAGGTCATGTCACTCTTCTGCTCTCAGAGCCTACCCTCTTATGTGTCTATCCCCCACCCCAACCACACACACATTTATTTGCCTTCCTACTATTCTTCCCACACAAGTACGTTCCTGCCACAGGGCCTTTGGCTCCTTCTTCCCCCTCTGTCTGGATGGCTCCTCCCCTCCAGAGATCTGTGTGGCTTGTTCCACTTATTTCAGGTTTCTGGTATATATGAGGCTTTTCCTGATACGCTATGTGAAATAATAACTTCCTCAGTTCTTACAACACTTCCTAGCCCTCCTACCCTCTTTTTAAATAGTATGATACTTATCCCTAACTAATATATGTTTATTTGCTTGATATCTTTATTATCTCATTAGAATATATGCTCTCTGAGAGCAGCTTTGTTTTGTTCACTGCTGTATTGTCAGGCCCTAGCTAGATCAGTGCTAAGCATATGGTAAGTACTTAGATATTAAATGAATGATGACAAGTGAACTAGACAAAGCTTCTGCCTTCAAGGAATGTAAAGTCTAGCTTGGGAATAATGAAAAATTACAACCATTAGAACTTTTTTGAAAGGGTAAGTAAAGAGTGACCCTGATCTTTATAGGCAGGGAATGAATGCTAATCCACAGGTGGCCAGCAAAGAGGATTTGTAAACATTTCAGGAAACATTCTAGTGCTATGGTATTGAGGTGGAGACTCTGAAGTATGTACCTAAAATAAAGTAAAATCCAACATTCTGTGTAAAATAAAATTTCAGAAACCCACAGATTATTATTTGTATGCTCTTTTAGTAATAATTAGAATTGATAATGACTTTATTAAGTATATGTATAGGTTCTTTATCCCAAACCTTGTGTCCTTATGAGGCTTAGCTGCTAGTGACTTGTTTTGTGACCTTCGGCAGATGGGTGAGCTGTGAGCTGGGATTTAAAAAGAGCTTTCTGAAGCCAAAGCCACTGTACCTGTTGCCTTCCTTTTTTCTTTTTTAAAAGACCCTAAGTCTGTTGTTGTACATTGAGTTAGGAAAGAGTTGTAGAACTTTTTATGTAAGATTCACTTTTGCTATCTATTTAGGAGCTTTTGTGGATACTCGAAAGGTAGAATTTATAGTTTCTACCAATTTTGAAACTTTTAAGTAGTGAAAATCAAGAAGAAATTTTTTCTTCTTAATTCTGATTGTTTCCCTTAAGATACTCACTCCCTTTTATCTTCTTATAATTATTTGTGTATGTGATGTGTCACAGATGATGTGCTTTTCCAGGGTGGGTGGCAGATTGGAATTTGTATCTTGATTTTTGAATTTTGGTTTTGTTACTGATTGTATGTCCTTTGGGCAAGACTCTATCTTTCTGAACCTTGATATACTCATCTGTGAGATATTTCATGGGTATTTTGCAAGAAAATATTTATGAAATAGAAGAAATTATTCACCTTCAGAGTGGCCTTCAGTAAATGTCATTTGAAAGAATGGCCAATTGGAAGTGTTTCCTCTGTAATGCTGTATGACTGGAGGAGATTAGATAGCTCTCGATTTATTAAGTCAAACCATTATTGTAACATATTGCTCAACATGCTTTCGTCTGTAAAGAATTATATCCCTAGGTGATGAAATAGAACATTAAAATCTATTAATATAAGTGATTCTCAAACTGATGTCAAGTGACATCAGAATCACTTGACAATGTTAAAAATGTGCACGTGTGCAAACCCATTCTGATTCAGTAGGTCTGGAGTGTGGCCCATTAATTTGTATTTTATGAACATTCCACATAAGTTCAGAGAACTTGATCAATATCCCTAATTCCCAGTCCCTGATTTATATCCAGCATATCCTCTTGGTTGTTTCACAGGCATCTCAAAGGTACATGTCCAAAAGCTTCTGAGTTGCCCACTGAACCCGCCTTTCCCACCACTCCCACAAAATGTTTTTTCTCACTCTGTTATCTTAGTTAATGACACTATTTTGTATCTGGCTGCCAGTACTATTCCCCTCCCCCTCTCCTTATGAGCAAATCTTATCAATTCTACTCTCAGAATATTTCAGACGTTCCTTTCCACTTCCAAGTCCATGCTGTTGTTTGTCTGTACAACCACCTTAGCCTCCTTGCTGGTCTTTGGCTTCTGTTCATGCCCCTTTACAATTCTTTCTCCACAAAGTAAAAGACATAAATCTGTGTCATTCCTCCTTTTTAATATCCTTTAGTGATTTTCTTTTGCACTTAGAGTAAAATCCAACATCCTTACCGTGGCATCATCAAAGCCAATTCTGCCTCTGTTTACGGTTTGTGCAGGTTTTCCACTATACCCCAGTCACACTGGCCTTCTTTCTGTTACTTCAGCTTACTTAGCTTGTTCCTTCTGTGGGGCCTTTGCACATGCCACGTCTTCTAAAAGGATACTCTCCTTTCTTATTCTTTGCAAGGCTGGCTGCTGCTCATTCTTTAGGACTGGACTTAAATATTATCTCCTTACAGAGGCCTAACCTGATAACCATAAATAGGTTCCCTATGTTTTTTCCATTCATTCTGTCCTGTAACTTTATTCCATAGTGCTTATCACAAATATGTATTTATATCTTTATTTGTCTGCTCTCTCTCTCTCCACCCCACCCCCGCCCCAATACCTTGTGAGTTCCATGAGGGCAGGGGCCAGGTCTGATTTTTTCAGCAGTGTATATCCAGTGTCTGCTTTACTGCTTGGCCCATATTTGGCTCCGAATAAAGGCTTATTAAATGAATTTTTATACAGGTGAACCTTCTTTGGACTTATCAACATAACACAGAACAGTTGTGGGTAGACAGAGTAGT